TGGCTGAGAGGATGGCCTTTGAGAATGGCTCCTGAGTCTTCTGGACAATTAAAAGAGAGATTGTCCAGAGATTAACTGGGATGCAGATTTTGGGGTTATCTGGTGAAAGCAACAACTTAGAACCACATTTAAAAGGCAAGAGCCAAGCCACATTCAGAACTGTAGGAACAAAAATTTTGCTCAGGAAGAAATGTCAAAATGTGACAACATAAATATTCTTGGCCAGCAAACTGTTGTTCTGTGGGACCAAAGGCCTCTGGAAGAAGCTCCTGATCCTTGCAAAGGAAATGTAAATAGACACTTTTCATTTTCTGAAAATAGAATAACCTCGCTAAGCCATGGATGTGCTTTCATTAGGCCTTCTCTATCCCCAGATAGCAAATTGATAAGAATTAGCATTCTTCATACTGATTCTTTGTCAGTTGTTATTGTCCCTGGAAAAGCAGGGAAGTGGAACTATCTGCCAGCTAAGCACAGACATGAAGAGATTGGAGAATTTCTGCTTGAGAAAACCATACTTTTATTTAGGAGGTTCTCAGTGAGGGGAATGAAACAAGGGGTCCCCCGGGGGAAAGCAGTTCAGGAAGCATGTTTCTCTTCTCAAAGGCTAACTGTCCTGCTCGGTTCTTGGGCGAACCTTTCTGAGCTATCACTTCCCATTCACTTTTTGCAGCAGATGGCTTTTAGCTTGCTGCCATTCCTTACCTGTGTCTTTCCCCCAGTGCTCTCCTGGACAGCAGTGCGTGACAGGGCGGTGGTGGCCACGAAACAGGAGAAGAACCCCGAGAAGATGTTGCTGATCCCAAAGGCAACAAATTCCTAAGGGAGAGTCTGGATGATGAGGATGCTACAAATATAATCTTTGCAAGACCTTCATCAAGCGTTTAAGGAAGAACGTGAAGAAAGCAAACTCCCAGACCCACCCTTCCTGGTAGTCCCAATTTAATTTGTATCAGGAAAGGTGGCTGAGGATCTTGAAAGATGTCAAAATTTGGGGTCCTTACAGCCTAAGAGAGGCCTCACTGCTCTCAATCATTTTTAAGGTTGATGAGGAATAGTGAGTGACTGACCTTTTGCTAAAATGCTTATTTCNTCTCTGAGTGTGTGTGTGTGTATACACAAACTTGCACATTTTTTGCCAGTATTTCTTTTTGCAAATATGACTACAAAGCATGTTTTATTTTCCCATCTTTTAGTAATTATGCACCCTAGTTTATTCTGCATTGGTCGTTTTTTTCACTTAACAATTTGTCTTAGAAATCTTTCCATATCAATATATAGGAAGTTTTCTCATTTCTTTTTATCTGTTCTGGTTTAAATTAAAGCATAACTCTAAAAGATTAACTTACAGTTTTTATAATTCCTCAGAGCAGTTATGAAGGTTACTTTGGTCAGGATTATAATCAGCATGGGGTTTTGTTTTTTGTTTTTTGTTTTGCTTTGTTTTGTTTGTCCTTCTAAATTGTTTTTTTGTTTTTTGATTTGTTTTTTAATGTGCGTGTTTGGCTTTCGGCTCTAGAAGGCCAAGGGTATATGACTGAGCTCCAATGGGATTCTTGCTGGAAACAGACCTTCCCAGAGATATAGGACCTCCAAAAATGCAGTTCATCAGGAAGACTTCAAACAATTCTAATTTCTGCCCTGGTGCTCCCAAAATGCAAGCAAGACTTAGGAGATAAGGGAATGTAATGATATCCAGGAAGAGTATAATGACCAAATCTCATTTCAGAGAAAAATGGGTGACTTACAGCATCAATCTTATTCTGCCTCCACAGACGAGGCACGTCACACACCTGCATAAACATCCCTTTCAGGTTGGCAATTACAACAGCTGCCAAGACCGACTGCCAAGAGAGACAGAGAAGGCTGTGTTATTCAGGGGAATGGCTTTCCATGTGATGATTTATAAATCTTCTGTTATTTCTCTGGTGGCAGAGCAGGGTAATTATGTAATCAGTGTGCCGAGAAGCAGGGTTATACCTTCTGCAAGGGTTCCAGCAGCTTCCCCAAGGCAACAATGGCGATCATCACAATCCCAGCCGAGAGGATGCCAGCAATCTGAAAGACACACAGCTCCCATGAACAGAGTTCTTGCTCCTCACGTCACCCAGCTCGCTGGATGTATGCATCAGAGAGCCCGTTCACGGGTGCACGTGACGCTCCCTGACCTCCCCACTTCTGCTCAATGCTGTTGAGAGAAAAGAGAATTATTTTCTAAAACTCTACAAAACTGAAAGAAAAAAAAAGGAACCCATATAGCATAGATTAGCTATGGCAGAGAAATTAAAGAGAATGTGGAGACCCAGTCTGCTGAAGTAAAGCCAGTTTGACCTGGACTTCATTTGGATGTATTAGGCTTGTAGTTTGGTGACAATTTAGGATGCCAAACTTGTAATTATTTGCTACACCAGCAAACATGGACCTACCCTCTTCCCCAACAACATATCATAGTCATGTTTTTGGGAAATAAATTCTCACAGCACATATCTGATTCTTCTGCATCATTGAATCAGCACCCATAATGGCCATTCTGATAATACTTTGTACTTGAAGCACATGGTTGTCACAGAAGTCTCAGAGAAAAGAAGTTTGCCAGTCCTACAGCAAACTCAAAATGCCACATGAGCCCACCGAGAAGTGGGACCATGTCTCCTGTTTCTTCCAACAGATCCGCAGACGCAGGCTCACAACTTGGCCCACCAGCAGCCCGCGTGATGACGGGCAGCAGGAGGGGTAAAGGAAACTCCAGAAACTTTACCTTGGCTGGCAAAAAATCTCTCCTAAGGTCCATAAATAGTTAGGAGAGAGGCTGAGGGGGTAGGAACTATTCTCTGGTTTGATTAGATATCCAATGAATTCTCTGTGGAGACAGCTGGGGCATGGCCAAGGTGAAGACTAGAAGCTCTGAAACAAAG